GTGTATGTAAGGCAGCTAGTTGCTTTCAGTGTAAGTTTCTTGCTTGTTGGTGTCTCATCTTGTATGGAAGACAATAAATGCCACGTTTGTGCTTGCATTTTTACCTCGGTCTCATGTCTCTCTGGAAAAAACTCTCAGCCTCCACCAGGTCATCGGACATTCACTATCTGAAAATGTGTATTACATTTTGTGATGTGTAAAATCAGATCCACAAAAATACAGGGTGATGTGTACACACACCTGTTTTTACACAATTGTGTAATTATGTCCAATGTGTACTGCGGAGATCTGTAAATATATACACAAATCACACTTTGTAAACACAATTAAATCTGTACAAAGATCTTTTTGTTTCACATACAAAGTGATTTACGCATTTTGTTGATCCGTTTCTACACACAACTGTTTTACACACTTGCGGATTGCTTCCTGTCAATCTTGTCCCCTCTGTCCCGCTGAGATCTGTAAGCAGAGATTTGGAAATTTGAGAATAATTTACTAGCTACACCAGCAGGTGGCAACAGCGACATTCTCTCCCGTGAACTGACAGGATATTCACAGCACTAGCTAGCATCATCCTCATCGGTAGAGACAACAAGGAACAGCAAGGACTGTAGTCTTGTTTCAACCAGCAGCGGAAAAATAAAGTGGAGAATCTTCTTTTAATTCAACGCTCGTGATTCAGGATCGGGCTGATAGCTGTGTAACGTAAGCCCACGTTACACGTAACAAGCTCATTAAATCATTTAGTTCACCTGGAGAGATTTTATGATTTTTGTTATTCCCTCTACAACTGGAGTTAGCGTGCCAATCTCTTATATAGCCTCCATTTACCACAGTCCGGTGATCAGTTGACATTTATGTATATAGTGATAAAATCAGTAGGATAGTCTGACAGATCAGTGCAGAATGATCATTATCTTAGTGACCGTAAACCATGACGTCACCAGTGTTGGGCAGTAACCCGTTACTGTAATATTACTTTTCCCAGTAACTAGTAGTGAAACTAATTACTTTTCTAAAACAGTAATAGTATTACTAGTTACTAAGGCAAGTAACGCTGCGTTACTGAACGCAGCATCCTTGACTTCCACAACTGTGCGGCAGCTCAGCGGGACCGGACTTTGTTGTTCGTGTCCACTGTTCAAAGGACAACGAGCGGGAGAGGCGTTCTTTCCACAGCTGGAAGTAGCTTCTGACCACATCTCTGTTTACAGATCTCAGCGGGACAGAGGGGACAAAATGACCTGCAGATTGACAGGAAGCAATCCGCAGATGTGTAAAAACAGTTTTGTGTGTAGAAATGGATCTACAAATGCGTAAATCACACTTTGTATGTGAAACAAAAAGATCTTTGTACAGATTTAATTGTGTGCATTTACAAATTGTGTGATATTTGTGTATATATTTATTAACAGATCTCCGCAGTACACATTGGACATAATTACACAAATGACCCACAAATTCACAGGAAATAATCCGCAAATGTATAAAAACAGTTTTGTGTGTACACATCACACTGTATTTTTGTGGATCTGATTTTACACATCACAAATGTAAAAATACACATTTTCAGATAGTGAAATATTTGCGCATCATTGTAAACATTTGTAGATTGACTTCTGTGGGTTACAAATTTAATTTTACCTTGCAGATCATCATTAAACACACTTCATTCAAACTGGACAGACACAAAACAAAACTCAGCAAAACATCTTTGTCTTTACACTGTTTCAACAATCACCAACTCTGGTTTGGTCAAAATAAACCCTTATTCACTGTGTTAGATGAAAGATGAACCAGCCATTCTATCACTTTCCTTAAAGCCAGCCAGTTTGTGTCCAGGGCAGGCTGTTAGATTCGTGTTGATAGATTTAACACTTCGGCTGCTGTCCATGTTGCTAATCAAAGGCTGCAGGTTTGCAATTACATGGAGTTGTGTATCTGTGGCCCGTATGTACACAGAAGGACCTTTTGGGCCTGGGGTTGAAGCGCAGAAGAAAAGTATTTGCACTGGGGCCAATCACAATTATGTTAGACTGCTGTCTCCCACACCTTTAAAAAATATAGCCATACAAAGGAATTACACAAAGGACAATCAAATGTTTTAACTTCCAACCATCATTATGGGTTTCTTTGTCCGTGCACCCCCTAGAGGCAGCTCAAGGGGTGCACACACCACACTTCCCTATCCCTATATCCCTATATTAACATTTAAAATGTTTTTGTATATTTAAATATATTTGTTTATATATGTCTTGTGTTTTTGTATTTGCACCAATATTGATATTACTCATTTATGCTTAAGTCTTAATAATGTACACTTTATCTTGTTACATGGAATGACAATGTCCTTTCTTGCTCTAAAAGTGCTATTTAAATAAAATTATAAACTTATCTCTAGACATTAGAATTTTTAGGAATGACAAATACCTGATCTGTAATTTTGGCTTCTGTTGTATGTCTGGTTGTTCTTGTTTTATTTTCAGTCTTTCATCTATGAGAACTGTCGGTCTCCACATGCGAAGACTCCTTCTACCACAGCCTCGATCAAGTGAACAGGATCAAACCTAGATTTTAAAACAGAATACAAATGGTAATATTTGGATTTGAATCTTGGTTTTATACTGTGCAGCTTATAATGTGGTGCAAGGTTCCATTTTGTTCCCTTTTTTGTTGACAGATATTATCTATAAATCATATTATCACCTCTCTGCTAATGATGCAGAGCTGATCATTTGTCTCAGGGTGTTCAGCATTTTATCACTTGATTATTCTGAAATGTCAAATCTGTCTTCAGAAATGTAGGTGTTGGTTATTCTTTCCCAAACTTTGAGAAAAACATAAATATATCAATACAGTCCAGCATTTACCAGTTACTCAATAAGTCAGACCAAGTGTCATTTGGTAATGAAAGCCAAGAGGAGCAATTCTTTCCAGATATCTTATAGTTTCTATTTCATTGTAACAACATTCCTCTTGATTGTATTGGCTGGTTAATCTCTGCATGCTTAAAGACACTTAAACAACTTAATTCAAATGATACATCTGGGATAGTCTGACACCAGCAAATGTATTGTCACAATTGTTAACTTGTTTTGTGTAATAGCCTGAATTTGAGTAGAGTATTTTTGAGGATGCATTAGCTAAATGACGCCACAAGAGGCAGTGTCCACTTCTGTTAGAGCTAGTAGGGCTGCATGATGCTTCAGCCCCTCATATAGAGAACACCATGCTGAAGGCTCACAAACACTTCCTGTCTCTGCTTTTCCTGTACAAAACAGGCTAGTAGTGTGTGTGTGATATTTTGCTGAAATACATTTATAAGGACCTAAAAGACTTCATTATGTTGTTCTGACAATATGTAATGTTAATGTGTAAAGCAGTGGTTTATTCAGTTGAGAGACATTGAATTGAAGTGTTGCTCCCCTGTTAAAGGTGTAACCACCATGGCGGCCTTCCCATCAATGTTCATTTCTTTTATGGCCATTGCTCCTGGACATGTACACCTTTTATCGGTATTTGTTAAAGCTAATGGTTGTAAAGTATGGTTATTTCAAGTTTGGTGAAATCTAATCCTAGCTAGTCCTTGTATGCCTCTGTATTGTTGATATTTTGTATTTAAGAATGTAGTAAAAGTGTGAAAAAAGTAGGCTTAACAGTATTAATGCTAGTGGATGAATATGATTTAGGAGCTGATCAACAGAACAGGTGTGAGTCATAATACAAGTTAAGACTAGGATAGTTGAAGTATTTCTGTTGAACTTAACAAATTTTTACATTTATATAATTTGAAAAATATGTTATTTCTACAGTTTTGACATATTAACCTCTGTGCTGTAATGTGATGCAAAATGTGTCATTTGTTATGAATTCTTCTCCATACAAGTCATCGAAGCGCAGCCATGAAAGTGTCAGTTAGAGCGAGTCCTATACTGCGCTGTGATTGGCCAGCTGCATATTCAACCGTATACTTGATCTTCTGCATGTAAAATTGACTTGTTATGAACTTTACTAAGAGGATAAATAGTAAACTGGAGAGATTAAAACAGAATCTGAGTTATTTCTGTAGCACACCATCCAGCTTACAGGCAGATTGCTGGGCCTAAGGCAGGGACATTAAGTCCTTATTTTTATGTGTTGTGTCCTGAAGAATGGGGTATTTGCATATTTTATACAGCCTCATTAGGTTGACAATAAAATTAATCACATTTTATGCGGTTACAATCATTTATAGAACAGATGCATAGTACATTAATGGTTAAACATGTTTTATATAAAACTATTAATGTATTCTAATATTTATAAATTGCAATTAACAATTACACAAACACAAGA